TAATACTAACTACATTACATTTAAAAGTTACATTTTATAAAAAAAAAGTTACCGCAATTCGCAACTTACATTTAAAAGAAAAAAATCCAACTAACATTTAAAAGGAAAAAAATCCAACAAATTTCGTTATTTATAACTCAAATACTTATAGCATCACATTGGTGGAATTTATCAAATGCGATTCTAAACTAAACAATATTTTAAAAGAAATTGAAATATTTACAACTAAACATGTCACTTGAGTCTCTTAGAATTATTTTAAAGTCTCCATTTTTTTCTTTCGCATACTTTTACAAAAAAAAATTATTTTTATTGCATGGAATACCAAAAGTTTCCAATGGAAATGCTCTTATCTTAACAATTGTTTGTTATTAGTAGTAAACTTAAAACTTCCTTATGTAATTATCTGTATAAACAAACGCTAGTGTTGGTGATGAATTTTCTCAAATGATAGTTATTGGCAAATTAACTAGGCGGAAAATGTCACTTTTGAATATTTTTAAAAGTAATTCGACCCAAAAGAAAACAAAATATATTTGTAATAAGTAATAACCCAAATCAAAATATCTTCATTTCGTTCTGATACAGACATTCATGCATCAAGGAGATTCATTGCATGAGTTAGAATGACATTATATATTGACATCATAAATAGATATATTTTGCTAATGTTAGAGTAAATCAGCTAAATAGTGTTATGTATACATGAACCTCTAATGAGGAAAATGACCGATGGAGATATCAGAAAAATAGGAAATACGAATTTTCAGATTTCACTACCCAAAAAGGGTTGAATTGTATCATTTAAAAATTGTATCACAAAATCAAATGATAATATTTTAAATTTCTTATTTATAAATGAAGTAAATATATCTAGTTTAGCATCAATTATTGTAATCCATGTTGATAATAACTACTTTAAGATTACTTTAATAAAATGGGGTTTTAATTAAAAAAATCCCATCATTCATTCAGTTAGATTCAGAGATTTACAAGATCGCTTTACACTATTGTAAGACTCATGGATCTCCCAGAATATTGCCAAGAGAATAGAAAAAGGTGAATCCATCTAATACTTTTAAAATGGCGAAAGCGGTCGTGCATCTCACAGAATTTTGCTGAAATGATAGAGAAAGCTGAATTCACCTTTAAATAATAAAGTTATAATGGTGGAATAAAACGTCGATTTAGTTTTGTAGTAACACTGGTTATTGATCTGAAGCTGGTCTTTTTAGATGAGGCGGTATGCAACTTGTTATGTATTTTTGTAGTTATGTGTATAAATAATCATACACACAAATCGAATTAAGATGATGATAAATATGAGTAATAAATTTTATTATTTTTAGAAACATTTGTCATTTTTAATGCCAAATTTGTAAAACTTAGTGTAGATAGATGATAATGGAAAATCTATTTTATTCGAATTTGTTTGATCATTATTTTAAATTGATCCAAAGCCTATTTTTTAAACACATATCAATATTTAAAAACTGTAAACAAAATTGTGTGTTAAAAGTCTCACATTAGATATCAAAATTAATTTTGATCTACAATCTTATTATGAAAAGACCAACATAATGAGAAATGGTAAAAGTATATGAAAGGTAATTTAATAGGCGTTCAAATTTGAAAATTGTATTTGGACATAAGATCATTGCACATT